GTCGATTGGGATTTACTTTGCTTTGTGAAAAATCGAGCGAACCAACGCACTGCTCGGTCGCGATATATAGATCGTAGCTCGCGGTCTCTCACGAGATAGCGGGAGTTGTTCCCGAGTGAAAAATTAGAGTCACAACTCCCCTCCCCCCACCCCCTCAGTTTTAGCCTCAAACGGACACGAAAGCGAAAGATTCCACTGTTTTTCCTTTCTCCCTTTTTCTTTCTGCTTCCGGGGAAAAATTGTGTCGAGCCCCTTGATTATTTTCCATCACGCGTCTTCGCCGATTCTTACCTCTTCCCCTCTCCCAGCCCTTCTCTTGTTCCGTGGAAACGAAGTGAAAAATTTCTTTCTCTCTCTCTCTCTCTCTCTCTCTCTCTCTCTCTCTCTCTCTCTCTGCCATACGAGCGTGGGGTAAAAACTAGATCGATATAGACACCTATATTGTACGTCGTCGTCGTCGTCGTCGATAGTTTTCCCACTTTTTTTTTTCTTTTTTCTAATCCACTGGATATGTGTCACGTAACGATCCGACTATCGAGACGAGCCCCCCTCCCTAACCCTTCCCCCTTCCTTTCCCGCCCCCTGTATACCCTCATCGCAATATATAAATAGATCATCGAATTTTATTCTTTCACACTTTCTCTCTTTTTTCTCTTTCTCTCTTTTCACATACACATACCCACACACATACACATACCCACACACATACACATACACACACACACACACACGCATGCATATACACGTCTATACATGCACGCACATACGCACGCTCTCACGCTCGAATTTAAGACGCGTAACGGTCATTATCGATCGATCTAGTTGGAGATTGTTCGATAATCGTCCTCGCGACGATCAACACCGTCCGCCGTGATAGGCGGCAATAATATATATCTATATATATATATATATATATATATATATATATCCGTATTTTATATGTATATATATATAATACATATAATTTATTTATATATATACTTATATATATTTCCATATTTATATTCATATTTGCATTTATATATTATATTTATATTTATATCTGCATTTATATTTATATATATATATATATATAATATCTTATCGTATATCAATTTATATATATATTATATATACGTGTTTTCTTCTCTACGCACTTGCTCTTCTCTCTCTTTCTCTCTCTCTCTTTCTCTCTCTCTCTCTCGCTCGCTCGTTTTATATCCTAGGGTGTGTATGAGTTGTTTCTCTTTAGCTACCACACTCTTACGTTCTTAGTTTCTCTTATATAACAAAAACCTCGCGCCCGTTGTCTCGCATTAATTAATAATCATTGTCATCGTAATAATGATCGCAGTGGTAATAATGAATCCTCCTCGCGACTAAATTGTATTTACACTTTTATCGTACACACGCGTCGATTCTATATGCCATGTTTTTCTGTCTACGCATTTCTCTCGTGTGCCTATGCGTCTGCACATGTATGTGTGTGTGTGGTGTGTGTGTGTGTGTGCGCGCGCGTATGTGTGAATAGATGAATACGCATACTACCACGTGCTTCAAAACTCCATCCATCAAATGGCGCTTCGACCTTCGATCTTTATCGTTTGAGCCATGGATCGCGCAAATCGATAGACGTAGCTCCATAATTTTCGTTTTCGCGGAATTTAAATGTCTCGTGGCGCGAAATTTAGTCCCGAGACGTTGCTTTTTTCGCACCGAGATCGTGCGCAGACCAATTCCCACCTTTATTATCCGAATTGTACGCGCGTAATTACGGAAATTACAAAACGCTGAAGAGCTGCCGATACCGACGAGCTCGTTCACCGTCGCGCCGACCAATTACCGTAACACGCAAGATCTGTAAGTAGGATCTGCAGAACTGCGGCGTAGGAACACGAGAGGCGCGTAACTTTTGGCCGTCCTCGACCACGTAGCCGTGAATTCGGGGGGGTTCCCGCCGTCAGGGTCGACCTCGCGAGAGCGCCTTATCGCGGTCGTATCGTCGCGTCTCTGATAACAAGACACAATCGTTTCGAGAACGAGAGGGAACTTCCGTGAAGACCCGACGCTTCCGTTAGCGTTACCCAGCTGTGCCCCGCTTTTCCTGTCTCGTGACAATCTCTCAACATCGAGCATCCTAGCACTCTGAACACACACACTCTCTCTCTCTCTGTCTCTCGTTCACTTTTTTTCCTCTTCCTTTCTCTCTCTCTCTCTCTCTCTCTCTCTCTCTCTCTCTCTCTCTCTCTCTCTCTCTCT